TTCCCCCTCTTTCCTTTTCTCTCTTCCTCATCCCACACTTCACACTGGTCCCAGTTGACTCTGAAATCTCCAATTCTTGGGCGCGACATTCAGCTGCCCCACCCCTTCCCATGAATTTCAGGCTTTCCCTTGCTGAGCTGACCCAAAGGAGCACCTGAGATTCCAGCCTTGACATATTACCTTAGTGCCCAAACTTGAGGTCTCACAGGGTTGCTAAGTCTGCATACCTCTATGTTGCCATTGATGACATTTTTCTATATCATCTTTGCCAAAATGAATTCATTTGGAAAGGAAATTTTAACCTATGAAATATTCTTGTAAAAAAAAAATGGATGAGCTAAAGCCACATATGTGATAAATAAATCTCAAAAGCATAATGTTGAGGTAAAAAAAAAAATCAATTGCATGAGGATACATACAAGTTCTATAAAGTTTACCTGAAAATCTAAAACTATTCTATACATTGCTGATGAATATATGCATATATATTAAAAATATGAAAGCATGCATGTGAGTGAAAACCCAAAGGCTAACAAACATTTGAAGATGTTCAAAATCATTAGTAACAAGAGAAGTAAGAATTGAAATAATGACAGGTATCACTTTACACTGAATTACTCTGTCAAAAACTAGAAAACTGGATAATGCCAAGTGTGAGTGGTGGTGGAAGGATACTGGAACCCCCATGAACTCTTGGTTGGAGGGTGGAAGGAGACAACTATTGTGGAAAGCAACCTGGCACATATATATCCATGACCCAGCAATTCTGCTCCCTAAGAAAAAGACATATAGGTCTCTAAGGGGCCAGGCATGAAGGTGATCTCTGCAGCATTATTTATAGTGGTAAGAGGGAGGGGGAGTTGTAAGTTGTCTGGGGAGGAGACAGTACATTCTGGAAGACGCACACTGGGGGTGTCCCAAGCAACCCAGAAGCCATGGACTCAATGTGCTCAGACTAACGTGGATGGATCTTAAAATCATAGTGCTAAGCAAGAAAAGTAAGAATAGAATGAGTGATTTAACACAATTATGGGTATGTAAATTAGAAAATATTTGTACAGGAAACAGTGGTACCCATTTTACAAGAACACGCCCAACAAAAAAGATACATATGAAGATATTAGAATGTTTGCCAGTAGAGGGCACTGAAAGAGACTGGGATATGGGGATATAAGGAAATAAATTTAAACAAGAGATGCCTTGTGGGGAAAAATGAACTAAAAATGAAGGTATGGGATTAACTCAACCCATGACACCTGAGATCTAAAGAGGAAGACAGAGGAAGGGGTGTGGAGGATGATGAGTTCCAAATTTAGCAGAGAAATTATCTCTAGGCTGAGATCAAGTGGCTTCAAATGCCATCTACAATGTATACCACTTATAAATAATCAGCAGTTAATATAGAAAATTACTTAGAACAAAGCTGGGTGGGAGAATTTAGTCATTTGCTACATTAGTCTCTACATTCCCTTGTATATGTGAATATTTTATAATAAAAGTGTTTGAGAAAACTTTCACCGACCATGGAAAACAAAGCATCTTGTCTTAATAATAAATATAGTAATAATAGGCCACTAAATTCCAAACTCTGAGGCCTGTTGAGAGCTGCTCTAAGCAAGGCTTAGAGACAAGTTTATGACACAATGGCATCAAACTCCTGAGCTTTTTTCATGCCACCATCAGGATTAAAACTGGATCATTTTCTCTTCACAGGAGTTTTATGTCATTCCATGCTATTTCCTTTCACATCTGTAGACAGCTTAAAATCATCTCGTCTGTCACCTTTGGAAAACACTTTTTTGTTGTTGTTGTAGTTTTTTTTTTTATGTATTATTTCTTTTTATGGTGACATTGGTTAACGAGGAAAACAGCACTTTAACACAGTGAATATGTCTCTGAAAGGATTTCCCCTCTTTAGAAGACTTTATAATGAAATATATATGTATACAGAAAAGTGCACTTATCATGAGTGTACAGCTTGATGAATTTTCACAATCTGAATGCCGCCCCCCCATGTAGTCAGTGTCCATATCAATAAAGAGAAGTTCCCTTCCTGTCACCTCCAGTCACAGTGCCTCAGGGGTAACCACTCCCCTGACTTTTATCATCCTAGATTGGTTTTTCCTATTCTAGAACTTCGCATCTAGAATCACAGTTGTAGTCGTTTGAGTGTGGCTTTTTTCATCTAGCATAATCCCTTTGAGATTCATTTCTGTAGTTGCATGTATCAATAGTTTGTTGCCTTTTATTGCTGAGTAGTAGCCATTGTATGCAGGTACTGTAATGTACTTATCCATTCTACTATGAAGAGGCATTTGGGTGGTTTCCAGTTTGGGGCTATTATGAAAACATTCACAGCATTCGGTAGACAGAAACAGAAGAATTCCTAGAGACGAATGGCTGGCTCACAGGGTAGGTGTATGTCATCTTTAGGACATCTTGGCATTGTGATTTTTAAAAGGAAATAGTTAGCACTTCAAAATGTATTGTTTGAAGATTGGCTTACATAATAGAAAGAATAGGGAAAATTTAAGTTTGGCATCAAAGTACACTGGCTTTGTACACTGGTTCATGCTTCAGAACAAAATGGATACCTTTTATGACTGGTGACATATTAATGTCCCGTCGATGAAACCTTTTTGCTTTTACTAGACATTTTATATAACTTCCCAACTACTAACAGTTACCAACTATTTGAAAATAAAAATATTTCATATTTTTAGCCTGGTCCTATTACTTGGCAAGTTATTTTAGCTAAACCTTATAAAATATACTTGATAGGCCATGTACATTATTATTTAAATTCCTCATTAGTCCTTAATATAAATGTAAATCAATAGAAAAACTATTTTAAATGTAAAGTGGATTGACTAAAAACCCTTATGCATTTTAATTGGAAAATATTTCATGTATCTTACGACCAAGCCAGTGTCTTGACAATAGAATTTTAAGTTCCGTTTGTTTACCCATTTTGCATACACCCGGGGCGCTGCAGCTCATAGAGAAAACGCGGTGAATATTCTGGTCCTCGGGGCTGAGAAGTTCTGGGGAAAAACTGGGAGCTCCAAGCCACTATTTTCGCTTGCGGAACCAGCCTTCTGCCACTAGGGGGCGACATCGGACGGAAAGCGGGCCTCTCCGCAGCGCTGCAGGTGAGGCTTGGCCACTTGCTGCACATCAGACTGAAAGATATCCTTGGCACACATCTCCGCACTAAGTTCCCACTGCCGCCCAGGAAGATAGTCTGATGATACCCATTCTGCGGATGGGCAAATGCACATGCCAAGTCGTTCGAGTCAGAGAAAATGGAACTGGGATTTGAACCTAGGTCTCTTTGATTCTGCAGCCTGAAGATATTTCCACCCTTGGCAGCTTGCTGTGCCCCTGTTTTGTCCCTACTTGTGTGTGATGGTGGTGGTGGAATGGGAACTTTGCTCCCATCGATTCAGTGTGCCTCCTCCTTTTTTTTGCACACTTCTCTTCCCCTCGTTGTACACTCATCTCAAACTCCCTCACACACCATCTCCTGCCATTTTCTCTCAGCCTGCAACCCATATAATCTGCCTTCTGAGCATCCTACCTACCTGCCCCCTCATCTGCTCCCCACCTCCCTGCCTTGGTCCAGACCTGTCCTTGCCAGCCAGGATCCCTACTTGGGCCACCCCCTGGGCTCCCAGCCTTGGAGAGGTGGGACCACCAGCAGAGGAGGTAGTTCTGGGATTCTGAATTCATATGCAGGTTTGACTTGTATCTCTCTCCTGTTCTCAGGAAGGCCCAGGTCCTAGGAGAGACATCAGGTGGTGCACTCACCCTCCCAACCCCACCCCTCCACCACCATGACAGCCTGGGAATCAGAGGCCACTGGGCACATCACCTTGCCCATGTGGCCAGACACCAGCATAGTCTGGAATTTCAGGTTTATCAATCACTTGGGGTTGGGGGTGGGGACACATAAAGCTGTTCTTTCTCACTGGTCTGCCTGCTTGACCTCTTGTCTCCTCCTCCAGCCACCCTCCCCGCTTCCTGGGAGACTGGCCCAAGGAGGGGCCTGGGCATATATAGGGAGCCACTTTGGGAAGGGCTGGCCAGAGAAGCTTCAGGCAGAGAAGGTGAGGAGAGGCCTCGGAGTCTGGATGGGCAGGGGGAGCTGGGGAAGGTCTGAGGCTCAGTGAGTGCCTGGCTTCCCTGTGAGCCACACTTTCCTCTTCTATAAACTGGCCCAACGCTGGGGTCGAGGGAAGCGGGGCTCATACAGTACCAGCCTGAGCCCAGCAGAGAGCCCAGCAGGGAGCAGCCCCTGGCAGCTGGGGTGTGGAGTGGGGCAGTGGGTTCAGCTGGGCTCAGCTTCCCCTCCTGGTCTTTGCCTGGCCTCATCCTTGATCGTGTGTCTCAGGCAGGACCATGGCTTCTGCAGCAGCAGAGGTGGAGAAGAGGTCTTCGATTGTGGTGGGGCTGCTGGTTGCAGGCAACATCATTATTCTGGTGAGACATCCCCAACTTGGGAGCCAAGTGGGTGGGCAGGGAAAAGGTGCAGCCCTGAGCCTGGGGCTGGGGGCTGAGGGCCCAGGACTCCCCAGCAGGCTAGTGCTATAGGCTCCCAAGTCAGAGCAGCCTGGTTTCAAATCCCAGCTCTGCCTCTTCCTAGCCGTGTGACCTTGAGCAAGTGATTTTACTTCTCTGTGCCCGTTTCTCCATCTATAAGATTATATCTTCATTGTGGGGATATTTATGTGGATTAATTCATGTGTGACCCTCAGCTCAGAAAAAGTGCTTGACAAATGCTACTATCATCATGAACGTGATTATGGACATAAAGTGTCTGCTTGGCACACAGAGGCCCATAATAATGAATTACAATGTTTTTACCTAATATTTAATGTTTTGTTTTTATTAAAATATGTGATACCCGTACATGGCTCTGGAGGCAGAAAGCCTAGTTTCAAATCCCAGCTCTGCCACTTTTTATTGTGGGACATGGGGCCAGTGATGTCCCCTCCCTGAGCCTCAATATTTTCTCATCTGGAAGATAGAGATAAAACAGGAATGCTGAGAGGATAAAATGAGTTATTGGATTAGTGCGCTTAGACCAGTTTGGTGCACGTGGTTACTCTTTGTATTGGCCAGAACAACAATGTACGCTACAGCTGGTAACAATAACCATTATCACACAGAAACCAGTTAAGAGGCCCAATGCCTGGCACACAGTAAGTACTCTAGGAGTGTTAGTTTAATTATTGTCAAAAGTATCCGCCAGGAAGTTTCCTCTCTCTTGCTCTATATTCCTCATCCCACAGGTAACCAGATGTTTAGTTTCTCCAACATTGCAACCAATACAAGTAATAGAAGCATATATACCTATTTTCTCCCCTTTCTTGCCCCAAATATAGCTCATTCCACCTCCTGTTTCGTGCTTCCTATTTCCTCCTGCTCACATGGCCTGTAGGCCACTTCACAGGAGTCCTCAGAGAACCTCCTTGCCCTTTTTCACAACTGCATAGCATTCCATTGTGTGGCATCCTGGTTCCTTTACCCAGGGTGCTACAGAGGATCACCTTTCGGGTTTGTGATTGTCCCACATGGGTTGGTGCATGTGTAGGGTTGATTTCAGCAAGTGGAATTGCTAGTTTGAAAGGTTGATGCATTTGTAATTGTTCTGACGATGGCCAGAGTCCCCTCTTGAGGGAATAACATGAGTAAGGGAGGGCGGGTTGACCGAGCATCTCCTCTGTGCCAGGCATGCGCTCCAGGCTTTGCATGTGGCATCTTCTTTCATCCTGGAAGCAACTGGCAGCTGGGGTGGGGCAGGGGTCTTGGCTGAGCCCTCCCTTTCCTCCTGGCCTTTGTCCAGCCTCATCCCTGTTCATGGAAGGCAACGTCTTTGCCACTCTTATTATGTGTCCACTTTACTGAGCGGGCTGTGGAGGCTCAGAATGGAGAAGAAGCTTGCTCACTGAGACTCGTGCAGCTGGGGCTGCTGCCCCCGAGCACGCCTTGCTAACCAGCTGCCCTATACAGCTGTCAGGCCTGGCCCTGTTTGCCGAGACAGTATGGGTGACAGCTGACCAGTACCACGTGTATCCACTGATGGGCGTCTCGGGCAAGGAGGACGTCTTTGCTGCTGCCTGGATCGCCATCTTCTGCGGCTTCTCCTTCTTCGTTGTGGCCAGCTTTGGTGTGGGTGCAGCTCTGTGCCGCCGGCGGTCCATGATCCTCACGGTGAGGCCCCAAGAAGAGGGGATGGGGGCAGGTGGGCATGAAGATCATCCTCATAGAGTCATATTAACAACCACCACCGCCGCCGCTGATGTGTATTCAGCATGGCACCACCCTTGAGCCTTATGGCAATCATTTCATTTCCCCTTCCTATAACCCAATAACCTAGCTCAGCCATCACCATCATTTAAGAAAGAAAATTGGGGCACAGGAGAGGAAGGGAAGGAAGCTCTCTGCACAAGAGGATGGCTCTTGAGTAGCAGAACTGGGATTTGAACCTCAGCTATTTGGTCTCCAGAGTCTGTGCTCGTGAGCTCTGTGGATAACAATGACAATAATAATAGCACAGCTACTATTTATTGAGTGCTCACTACTTTCTAAATGTTTTACATGAATCAATTCATATACCTACATACCATGAGATATCATCATCATCATCATCATCATACTGTGAGCCCATTTGACAGAGATGAAATCAAGCCTCAGAGAAGTGAAGTCACTTATTGAGGTCACACACAAATGAGTGGGAGAGCCAGGATTTAAACCCAAGCAGTTCAGAGCTTGAGCCTCTCTGTGCTCTCAGTCTCTTCCAACAACAATAACTGCAACAATACCCACAATTCCCTAGGGCCTCTCATGTGCCTGACACTAGGCTAAACAGTTTAGAAAACAAGCTCCCTCAACCCTCCTAGGGTAGAGAAACCTCCAAAGGTAGTGTTTCTCTACCCATTTACCAGATGAGGAAACTGAGCTTCAAAGAGGCCAAACCCCAGGTGATAGAGAGAGCAGCGATGCCAATCCCGTCCCCACTGACGCAGACCCGACACTGTGCTTGCTCTACAGCTGAGGGCCCTTTAGATTGCCAGGAGCATCTACTTATTAAATTAACTAATGTTTATTAAGCAAGAACCATGTGCCAAACCCTACACTAGGCACTGAGGCTATCTAGTAAGCAAATCATAAAGCCCTTGCCCTGGGGAGGATGCTCTGAGGAGGGAAGACAGTGACTAGCGAAGGGAGAGCTGGAGCTGGGGAGTGGGCATGGGAGGTCTCACAGCCAGAGAAAGCAAAGGCCTGTGGGTGATAAGGAGCCTGTGTGCATATCTGCAGGAAGAACATTCCAGGTGGTAGTGGGGGAAGGGATGAGAGACGAGATGAGGTGAGGGTGGACAGGGAAGGGGGCAAAGAACAGTGAAGGATGGGTATGGAGGATGAGGGGAGAATGGGAAGGCGGGCCTACCAGGTGGGCTTTGGTAAGGACTGGCTTTACCGTGAGTAAGATGGAGCCGTAGAAAAGCTCTTTTCCTTTCCTTTCCTTTCCTTTCTTTCCTTCGTCCTCTTTTTTAAAATTTCTTTCCTGCATTTAATTCTCTAGCATAACAATTTAACGAAAGCCTTAAAAAAAGTTCATTCAACTAGGAAAAAAGAAATGTTTGTGTCTGTCTATCTCCCCTATTAGTTTGTCATTAACTAAGATGCAGATTTTTTAAAAAAAATTATAATGGGAAATTTCAAACATAGACTAGGGAGAATGGCATGATGAACCCTACTTACCTATCGCCTAGTTTCCACATGACCAGCCACAGACTTGCCAACTTTCTCCCCTCGACTCCATCCTCTGCCTGCCCACTTCTTTCTTTCCTGGGGTATTTTGAAGCACTTTCCAGACACCAAGTCATTTACCTGTAAATACCTGAGTGCACATTTCTGAGTGATAAGGACATTGTTGTCAAGCAGTTGGGCATGTGGTGCTACATCACCTCATCTCTTGGCAGTGGAGCTGGCATATCCACCCCCCATCCCCTGTTGCTTTAAGGGTGAGGGTGAGGGGTGAGGACAGGAAAATAATTTTCATTAAACACCAGTCAAAGATTATTTTCCTTTTTTTGCACAACCATTATACTACTGGGGCATCTGTAAAATTCACACCCTAGTTTCTTCATATCAATCTTTCAATATCCAGTCTATGTTCAAATGTCCCTGGTTGTCTGGAGAATGCCTTTATTTTTTATCTTTTCTAGAGTAGACATTCATTTTATTTCATCCAAGACTACAGTTAACTTCGGGAAATACTTTACATATTTTTTGTTGATTTCATTTTCCCCTAACATTTTATTATGAGAATTTTCAAACATACAGAAAAGATAAAAGACTTGAACAGCCATTTTTAAATTGCATTTCTATCCATCAATCCATCCCTTGCGGGTGTGTGTGCGTGCGTGTGTGTGTGTGTGTGTGTGTGTGTGTGTGTGTGTCTTTACAGGCTTTGTCCTGACTGGGCTGTCTGTTCCTCCCTCCCTCTGTCTTTCCTCAGTACCTGGTGCTCATGCTCATCATCTACATCTTCGAGTGCGCCTCCTGCATCACGTCCTACACCCACCGAGACTATGTGAGCCAGGCAGAAGCGAGGAGAGAAACATGACTTTGTGGGAGGAGGGGGGTCTCAGGCTGAAGGTGGAGGTCAACCCCTCTCCCCATCCAGCCCCGCTGGACCCTATTCCTGGACCTCCACAGATGGTGTCCAACTCATCCCTGATCACCAAGCAGATGCTGACATTCTACAGTGCAGACACGGACCAGGGCCAAGAACTGACCCGCCTCTGGGACCGTATCATGATTGAGGTGAGTGAGGGTGGGTGAGGGTGGGTGGGGAGGGCTGGCTGGAAGACCTGGGGCTCTGACCATAGGTATAAATAAGGCTCCCACTATGCCCACTGGTAGATGATATCTACTCATGTGGTTCTTATGAGGGATGCTCAGTCATTGTAATTTTCCAGATGAGTGAACAGGCCCAATAAAGGGAGTCACTTGTCCAGGGCCATATGGTTGGTAACTGGCAGAGCTGGGATCCCAATCTGGTAACCTAGATCCAGAGCCTCTGCTTTTAATCATTACATGTATTGTATTAACAACAACTACAACAACAAATTGAATGAGCACTAACTTCTGTTTAAAGCTTCTTTAATCATTACAATGACTTTTAAAGCTTCTTTAAAAGTGTCCAAAGCACTTTTAAAGCTTCTTTAATCCTTACAACCACCCATAAGAGAGATCAGCTTTTTATCAATGAGGAAACTGAGGCTAGGAGTTGAGTGGCTTGCAGGAGTTCACACAGCTGGTAGGTCACAGAACCAGAAGAGTTCAAACCGGATGCTAGGTTCCAGAAACCACATTCTTAATTAAACCCAAGATGATATGGCAGCACAGAGGAGAATTTTGAGGATGCAAACGAAACTGAGGTCTCAGTTAGGCTCAAGCCATATAGCTAGCCAGGACAGGAACCCATGTTTGAAAGAGCCTATGTTTTCATCTTTCAGGGGCCACAAATTAAACACCCACAGGGGCTGGGAGAAGCCAGAAATCTGCCTTTTGGTGTCATTTACCTCAGGTTTCATTGACAGCTAATTCAAAAGAATTTAAAAATCAATCACAAGTGTGCATTTGATCCAAATCCCCCATCAGCCTCTTGGTCTTGGAACAAATATGTTCTGGTCCTTGCTCACACACACAGATACTGCCCTCATCTTTGAGGCCCAGGACATGGGGAAGTTGGGCCCAGTTGTGGCTCAGGATAACCTTGCCCTTCCTTGCCGTGCAAGCACAGGTGCGTGGCTGTCCACTCTGAGCTGGAGCCTGCCTGACTCCTGCCTTTCTTTCCAGCAAGAGTGCTGTGGCACATCTGGTCCCATAGACTGGGTGAACTTTACATCAACCTTCCGGGAGGCCACCCCAGAAGTGGTATTCCCCTGGCCCCCACTGTGCTGTCGGCGGACTGGCAACTTCATTCCCCTCAGTGAGGAAGGCTGCCGCCTGGGCCACGTGGACTACCTGTTCACCAAGGTGTGTCCCCTCCCTGCTGCTTCATCTGTCCGTGGTTTCTCTGGCCCTCTCTGCTTCTTCTGGGTCTTCCTCTCTCCCACCGTCTCTCTGTTATCTCCTTCTCCCCTCTCTAGCTTTCTCTTTCTCTTACTTCTCTCTGGTTCTCTCAACTCTTGCTCTATCTGTCCTCCCTCCCTCTACAAGTCAGTGGGATGCACACAGGGTCTGTCTCATTCAGACCTGGCACCTGCAACTTTTCTCAAGTTGTCTGGGAATACGAGCAACAATAATAATATCAATAGCAAAACACCAATAACAACCCATATTTATTGAACTTCTACTTTATTCCAGGCATCCTTCTAAATGCTTTAAGTTTTTATCTTATTTCTTACCATAGCCTGATGAGGTAAACATGATACTTACCCCATTTTACAGATGGTAAAACTAAGCAGTCACCTGCTAGGGAGGGATGGAACTGGGGTTTGATTTTAGGCAGTTAGGCACCAACCAGGTGCTTTAACTACTGCAAGTGGAGTGCAGAGGCAGAGAGAGAAACCAGAGGAGGTTAGACTAGGAGAACTGGTCCCAGTGGTCCCTCTGGCTGCTCTTGGCTGCCTGGGTACCTTTGGCGGCATTTCTTAGATCAGGTGTCATGGGGAGGAGAGCCTGTGTGCAAACCATCGCCACACTCAGAGTCAGAGAGCCATGTTTCCAGCTCAGACTCCGTGCCGAGTGCTTACATGCATCATCTCGTGAAATCCTCACAACTGCTTTTGAGGGCACTGTTGTTACATTCACCACTTCACAGATGGGAAAACTGAGGCTCAGAAGGTCAGACTCATACGTAGGTCCCATAGCTCGTAAATGGCAGAGCTGGACCCCCAACTCGGTCCTACCTGACTCCAGGGCACACACCTGAACCTTTGTTCTTGGCTGCTCCCAAGTCGGGGCAGGGGTTTACATGAAGGTGACTACTGTGAGGCTCTGGCCCAACTCGGCCTTATCTCTAAATGAGGAGATGTCAGAACTGGACTGACCCTAAAGGCATATTTCAAATCCTTAGAAGTTGTTGGCGGCATGGAAAGTCAGCTCTAAACAAAACAGCCCTCAGGTTGTCATGCTCACTATCAGGGCAGCACCTGCTTATTCAGGGCCTGGACTCAAGGTCACATCCGTGCTCCCTGAAACCACCATAGGAGATATAGACACTGCCATGATCTCCATTGCACAGTGAGAAAACTAAGGCTTAAGGAAGGGGCTTTCCTGAGGGTGCACAGTGACTCTTGCTTTCAGCAGGCAGCCTCCCTGGGCATTTTCTCAAACCTCCATTTTCCCCCTGCCCAGGGCTGTTTTGAATACATTGGCCATGCCATTGACAGCTACACGTGGGGCATCTCATGGTTTGGGTTTGCCATCCTGATGTGGACGGTGAGAGGCGGGGAGCCTATGGGCTGGGTGGGATGTGGGTGTGGGGCTAGAGCACCCCTCACCTGACTGCCTCCTCACCCAGCTCCCTGTGATGCTGATAGCCATGTATTTCTACACCACATTGTGAGGAACAAGAAGGGAAGGCAACGTGCACACTTTGGCCTCGTCCTCCTCCTCTCCTGCTTCCTCCAGCTGAGGCCTGGATGACTGCCTCATCCCTCCCCTTCCCACCTCCCTCATCCTTCCCTCCTTCTACTCTCAAGATCTTTTACCAAGTTTCCGAGCCCTCCTGGGAGTTGGGAGTGCCCTGAAACTCCTGGACATGTATGCATGGACCCTAAGCTCTTAACCTCATTTTATTTGGTTAATTCCTGGCCCATCTATCAGTGCCAATTTAGAGTCCTGTCCTCAGATCTCACCATCCCAACTCCAGATGCCTCTCTTATAGCTAGTTCCCTGAGCTCCTCCTTCATGGTGCATGTCACCATTATTACGGAGTTGTTTGATTGTCTATTTAAGCTCTGATAGATTGGGATTGCTGTGAGGGGAGGGACAAGTTCTGTCATGGTCGCTTTATTGTCTCCAGCATTTCCCAGCACCAAGCCGAGCATGGATATTCAATAAATATTTGTTGAATGAGTTAATTTGTTTTCTTCTGGGGAAAAGCCGAATGAACAAGAACTCTTCCAATGGAAGTGGCAAGAACTCAACTGGCACTAACTGAAACATAAAATCGAATTTATTGGCCTGTGTAACTGAATCAATAGGGCTGGATCCAGGGGTTCAGTCTAGGTTTCCCAGAAATATGCTTCATTTTAAGGCAGGATTTCTCTGCAACACCAGACATACATATTTATAGCTAAGCGACACAGTTGGGAGAAAGAGCCTCAGTCCCAATAGCTTTAGCCAAGGTCAGGGATTGTCTTGGTTTAAGTTCTAGGCCCACTCTTTGGTTAGGGGAGGGAGGGCACCTGGGTTAATGATCCTGCTAAGGATGCACCCCGGTGGTGTTGGGAAAGAGGCTGTTTATCAAAGAAAAATCAGAATGCAGGGCTGTTGGGCCAGTACAGGTGGCAGGCAGACATCCTCCTGTGAGGGACTAGAGCTTCCAGCAAGTTCTCTAAAGGGTACAAGACAGACTGCATCTCATCATTGCTCTTTTGTCCTCTCTGAATCAGTCCCATCCTCTGGCCATTTAATAGCAATTAGGCCCTGCCAGGAGGACCTGGTGTCCTTCCCCATCAAATGAAGTTTCTTAGGGTCCTCATGTATTCCACTGGTCTGTTGATGGTCTGCAATTGTGGAATTCAGATGTCAGCTTTTTAAAATATATTTTTAAAAATCTGTAATGGTCAAAGAACTCATTATTTGTTAGGGTGAAAAATTGGAAACAACCTAATATCCATCATCAGGGGACGGGTTGTACAACTCATGTTATAGCCTTGGACTGGAATTCTCTGTGGCTGTTAAAAAGAAGATAGATCTATGTGAGCTGATATAAAAAGATGTCAGAAAGCATATATAAGGATGTTTATTACAGTAACCTAGAAGAACATCTGTAGAGGACTGGTTAAATTAGCTCTGCTATGTCCGTACTCTGGAACACCACATCATAGTTAAAAATAGTGTTTTAACATGGAAAAATCTCGAAGAAATGCAAAGTGGAAAAACTTGCAAACCACATGCAGTACTTTTATTGCTGTAGATACATATGCAGGATTTGGTCCTTTTTAAAAAATAAAAATAAAAAATAATAATAATAATAAAAGTTCAGGTTTTTTAAAATAATGTTTAAAAAATAGAGAAACTACTTTTTAAAAAGCAAAAGTAATTTGTAATTCTTCCACTTAAAAGTTTATAAAAATTCCATGTTCCACTCTACAGTAACATCCGCACCCCTCCCCGCCCCAAATATCTGGTCCAACCCCCTAGATGGCTGCTATTAACGCATAATAACTTTTCTTTTTCAAAAGTTTATATCGACACATCTACCTATACCTATGTCAGCTCGCACATATGCTTAACAGAATCGTGCTTTAAACATTGCTTTGCAACTTGTTTTCTCCATTTAACTATATCTTATGTTCGTCCTTCCTTGCCAGTATATACGAATTTATCTCTTTTTTTTTACTATTGCAATGTACTTTAGAATATAGTTGTATCATAGATCATCATGATCTGTTGTTAAGTAAACAAGGCAAGGAGCAGAATGGTATACATAAGTGATTTCATTTTTATAAAAATGACATATACGTCGTTTCCATGAAGAGACTATTTGGGATGGAGGGCTGAGAGGAGGAGGAATTTTCACATCATATATATCTTTATAATGTTTGAAAAAATATTTGTAAAGATCATCTATTACTTTTCAAAAACAAAAACTAGTGAAGGAATTTCTAAAACACTGAACAATATACAGCTTTATTTTTAAGCCAGAATTGTAAAACACCACTTAGATATGATGCATGCCATGTTTTAACATACAAGAGCCCCTCTAGTTTACGCAGCCTAACTGGCTTTTCTGCAGGCCCTGGAATGAAACTTTTCCACCCCTGTGCACATATTTGACATTGTAAATGTGTCAAGGAAATGGGGGATTCCGGCCTAAACTGCTTTTAAATTTAGGTATGTCTTCATGAGCAAGTTCACAGTGACCTAATCTGTAACTCTAATTCTCTGAGAGGCAAAGAGGAAGCACTGAGTTCTCACCACTCCACCACACTCTTAGCTTCAATGTGCCCCTCTGTGAAATGAGGCTTCTAACAGTCCCTACCTCACAGCATACAGTCCAATACATTCTAAGAGCTCAGGAACCAGTAGATCAGGAATTTTCTTGACACTCTATAATTAGAATCAAATGCAGAAATAAAGTGCCTGCTGATGCTGACACCTGGTGAACCCCAATTTCAAGTGTTTGAGACTCCACCATTCTCATACAGAAGCTGATTCTCTGAGGTGACTCAGAAATTTGCACTTATAAAGTCATAGTTGAAAATACTTGGTGCACTTGCTGAAAGGGGTTTTTAACCCACTGACTCAGCATATGTAAGAGTTAATATGTATTTTTTGGCTAGGGGTCTTTAAAGAATGTGGAGTTAATGCAGACTGATATACATAAAATCACTTTTTCTCTTAAAAATCACACTATAAAGGAATATTTAATATCATGGGAAAATACTTGTAAAATTGTTATGTGAAGAAAGATTACAAAATAGCATGCCAAGTATGATTGCTTTTCTGATAAAAACATAAATATGTGCATGTTTGCATTCAAATTGATAAATAAAGTCTCCCAAAGGTTAACATTGGTTATTAAGGCAGAGGAGACACTTGCAGGGGATTTTTAGTTCATTCTTTGGACATTTTGGTATTTTCCAAATATTATATGAGGATTATTGCTTTTGTCCTCCAACAAAAATTGAGAAATAAATGTTAACAAAAATGTCACCACTGGACACGAGATGTGCACTGAGAAAAGAGTTATTCCGCTAAATATTTTCAAACTTCAACGGAGCAGTTAAGACAGGTCGGCCTTACCAGATACTAGGGTCTTGGGGTCAAGCTGGCCTCTGGACAGCAATTAGGCCGGCCTCCACCTCTGTTGTATGTCTGCCACTACCCTCTCTGGCTCCATCTGGTCACATACCTGTAGAGTGTGGTTCAGCCGGACTGGCAGCAGTGTGGCCTGGCCAAGGCGGGCCTCATCTGGCAGGACAGGTTTATCTGCCCTGGTCCCTCCACTCACAAGCCCACTCTTGTGGGTGAGAGGGGAGAAAAGGATGTGGACCAGGTGAGGCGCCCAGGAACACCCGAGAGAGACAGTCGTTCAATGGCTGTTCTTACCGCAGCCCTACATGACCACATGTGTCTGTGGCTCAATAAAGCCTCTAACCCTCCATGGCTCCCCAGAACCCTCAGCACAAAGTCCAACTCCTTGACTAGGCCCCAAAGGGCCCTTTTGCCCTTTCTCCTTGCCACCTCCCCAGTCTTATCTCTGTCTCTTACCCCACTGAGCTAATCTTTCTTTCACAATCTGAGATCAGAGAATGGAAATAAACTATAATGTTTTATACCAAACAAGCAGGAACACACCTCTGACTACAGCCACTGTTGCTTATGCTCCTTCCATTAGGGCAAGTTGGCTCATCCACTAAAATGTAAAACTTACATTTCTTTGACTCAACTGATTCCACCTCTGGGAATCTATCCTGAATATACACTCACAAGTGTGTGCAAAGACCTATGTACAAGGATAACTTAAATTCAATAACTGAGAAAGAGTCTAAATCATGTCAGAAGGAAACTATTATATCATTCATTTTTTCACATCATGGAGTACTATGCAGCTAAATTTAAAGGGCACCACATTTATATTTGCTGATATGAAACCATCTCCAAGATAAATTGTTCACTGAGAAAAACATAAAGCATAAAACTGAATGTATGCTAAATGCAATCCTAGATTGGACCCTGGAAGAGGGAAAAAAAAGACATTTGTGGAAAAACTAGAGTAATCCAAATAAAGTTTGGAGTTTAGTTAATGGCATTGTACCAATGTTAACTTCTTGGTTTTGAAGAATGTACCATGGATATGTAATACACTAACATTAGGGGAAACTGGGAGAAGGGCATACAAGAATGCTCTGTATTGTCTTTGCAACTTTTCTGTTAATCTAAAATAAAAAATATATTTGAAAAAAAAACTGTATGTGTCTATATTTGTAGAACTCTAAAGAAGAGAAAAAAAGTTTGTGTATGCAGAAGATACATCCTTGCTTATAAATTGGTCTACTTTCGTGATTAATTTTTCTTAATTCAGGAATGATTACTCAGTTTGACAAGTGATTAATATTTTAAAAATTATGTACACCCACACTTGCATCATGATTTTTTCAGAGTACCCAATGTCATTATTTGAAATTTTTTATCTGATGGCATTATTTCAGAATGTCTTCATTTTGGATTGCAGTTAGAAATTACACAGGGCTGAGAAATGGAGTGGAAGTAAGGAAATAGGATAGTTCACTAGAAACCAACTCACAAAATGTTCAGGTTACCAAACAGCCCACTCATTTATCAAAAATGCTTTTCACCCTGTTAACCAAAATGTTTTAACAGGTTGTAGGGGAGTGGAATTTTTGACTGTGGTACTCTCGGAACCACTAAGTTGAAAGTGTCCTGGGTCAGACGGCAGGGAAAGCGCTTCCCAGAAGGGTGAGAAACTGGAAGTAGTAATTGTCTTCAGGAAATCTGGCCACTTTGCTGGCTCCCCAATGTGGCCTTGCAGATCCGGAGTAATGGGTGAGAACCAGGAGACCAGTGTGGGTTAACCCCCTTAAATGGAAATGCTTACATTGTTACGTAAGGTCTTCCAGAATGCTGTCATGAGTCCTGGGTATTCAAGGGCTGTAGTATTATAAGAACCAAACTTTCCTGATCCAGTTGAAAACCTACCTTATACAGATAATGTCACTGATACCCAGGCCCCAGGGGGGCCCAGGAAGCTTTGTTGAGACAGATTGCATCTGCCCCGTCCTAGGTAATAAAATTGTGAATATCTTTCCAGTAAAACTGTGAATATCGTCAACTC